CCACATGCAATTTCTGTGTGTTTGGCTGTTTCCTTTCTTCGCTGGTCTCTGTCGCGCTGAGCTCACACAGGAGCTGAGCTGAGAGGCAGAGCGCGTGGGGCTGAGCTCTGCCCTGGGACTGTCTGGAACATGGCCCCGCAGGTGTCGGCTCTGGCCCTTCTCCTGGCCCTTCCGCCCCTGCTGTCTGCCCAGAGAGCGACACCGGCCAGGCCCAGCAGCCCCAAGACTCCAGGTAGGAGCCGCCTCAGGCTTTGCTGCTCCCCTGCCTGCAGGTGGCTGCTGCGCTTTGCCCTGTCAGTCTTGCTGCAGTTGCCCCGGGAGGGGGCTGCCCTCCGCGTCCGTGCCAGAGCCTGCGGGGCTCAGCACCAAGCGCCCCTCAGAGAGCTGGGGTGAAAGGCAGCTGGGGGTGACGCCGGGGCAGGAAACGTTCTTCTCCTGGGGGGGCCCAAGGGAGAGCTGCAGCCATGCGCCCCTCTGGGAAGCAGGTCCCTCCCCTGCAGGGCCGGCGCTTCCACTAGGCAACTCTAGGCGGTCGCCTAGGGCGGCAGGATTTGGGGGGCGGCATTTTGCTGTCCTTGGCGGAAATTCGGCGGCGGGGGGTCCTTCTGCTCCTGATCTTTGGTGGAAATTCGGTGGCGGGTCCTTCACTCGCTCTGGGACCCGCTGCCAAGGTTCCCCGAAGACGTGGAGCAGAAGGACCCCCCCGCCGAATGCTCACAGGAGGAGCGCTGCTGCCTAGGGCGGCAAAAATCTTGGCGCCAGCAGACAGGTTAGCGTCTGGCTCTGGACTGGGGAGAAGAAGCCCGGGGAATTGGCCTTTACGCAACCCTACAAATAGTATCACCAGTTCCCTGGGGGGCAGGTGTGAGTCCCACACATGGGGGTGGGGGGGAACCTGTGGGGTTCTGTTTCTCTTCCGCGAATAACTCTGGTACCAGGAGCAGCCAGCCCCCCTGCGCTCCCTGCTCCCTCTGAGCCATGCAGATTCCCGTGGAGCCCCCAGCACCGTGGGCTCATTCCTGTAACGAGTTCATTGCGTTCTCAGTGCCCACTGGGGGGGGGAGGGGTACCGGGTATGAGCGATGGGACCAGGCAGCAGCGATTCGTTTCCATGGCAGAGGCACGTTGGCTGTACTGTGGGGCTGGCAGCTTTCTGCACAGAGCGCCAGTAACCACCCCTCTCTGCCGGGGGAGCCTGAGCTCCGAGTCACTGTCTGTGGTAGGAAATGTGGTACAGAAGTGTCTTGCCATAACAATTCCCCTGCGTCACATGGCCTACGATACCCATCTCTGTTCACGGGGGGACCCTCCCCTTCTGTCGAGGTGCAGCTTTCATCCTCCCCTCAGCAGGGCAGAGTGACTGCAGGCATGAACCCGGGCAGGGAGCGTGGCTCACGCCAGCCTGGGCCGGAGCCCGGCTTGTGTCCTGCATTGTTGTGCCAGCCCAGTCACTGGTCAGTGGAAACATGGCTCTGAGAGGGCGTTTGGGTTGGAGCAGAGTGGGACTGCCTCAACCTCTGTTTGTTAGCTGCTGCGGTTTGTTTCCATGGAGGCTGTAGCACCCGACCCTGCAGATCAACGGCTTTTGACAAGATCTTTCTTAAATCAGTTGTTTCTTGAAATGGGTCTGTCTGGAAAGAGTGAGAAGCGTGGTAAATTAGGAGCAGTTTGCATGGTAGTCACGTGGCTGGCAGAGCTGGCTCTGGGCTGGGCCCGTTTAAAAGCGCTGGTGCTTTAAGGGCCCGGAAGGTTGGCTCAAGAGAATGGAGACGGGCCTGTGGCACGCAGGCTGCTGGCTTTCATTCAGCCCAGGAGGACGCACAGTCCTGACCTGACAGCTGTCCGGGCTTGTGTGAAACGTCTCAGTCGGGTTCCTAGTGCACAGGTGTCCACACTACAGCACACAGCCATGGAGGCTCAGCTCCCCTCCCCCACTTTAGCTTCCTCTAGCTCAGGGCAGGCCAGGCAGCGTTCGTTCGGGGCTCGAGTTGCCCCAAGGAGAAACGGAGGCTTCCTGTCCCTGGGGCCTCAGGCTGGCAGTGCTGTATTGAGTAAAACCACTTGCGCAGCCTGTGAGACGGCTCCCGGCCGGGGCATGGTACCCACGGTGGCACCAACTCCCTCACACGGCAGCAGACTCATGCCAGTGAGCGGAAAAGGAGCCCGGCACCCCAGCAGTCAGGACCATCTCCCCTTGGGTGTGGCATGAGGGACGGCTGGCATGAACGGTGCCCAGGTAGAAGCGTGAGGGGCCGCCCTGATCGCTCTCACTGAGGCTGAGCTGAAAGTTGTGCTGTGTGTGAAAAGAGGAACCGTGCAGAAACAACCCCAGCCCCACCCAGCAACGCGACAGGGCCAAGCTAGGCCGAGGGGAGTGGCCAGCCCCGGGCGGAGATGTGAACTAGGGTTACCATACGTCCGGTTTTTCACGGACATGTCCAGCTTTTCGGCAATCAAACCCCCATCTGGGGGG